AGATGAGTAGGACTCTGAACCTACCCCCACAGAATCTCAGTTGACAGAGAGGCTTTCCTGGGTTCAGTCACATATTTAGTCTCAACATCACAGTGCTCTCTCAAGGCTGCATCCTTGAAAAAGGTTCTCAGTGTGGGAACTGTAGGCAGAATGTACATCTGAAGGACAGGGGAGGGGATAAAGAGCTGCCCACTGACTGGGTCCAGCTTGGGGGTCAATCTGTGGTCACATCCTCTCAGTGACTTCCTCCAACATAAGCTAACAGAAAAAAAAATGGGCTTTTACTTGCGAGTTACACTTTTTAATTTGAGAAATAAGATAACTTCAGATATTGCCTACCCTAATTGCCCTCTTATTTACCAGATATTTCTTACAAAAACCTCTGACTGTTTAAAAAGCCCAAATCTCCTTCAAAGGAGGGAGACACTGCAGCTCAGATTCAAAATGAGTTCGAAGAGAGTAGTTCAATGTTTCTGTGTAGCATTTCATTTCATTTCATTTACTGAGTGCCTATTACATGGCAGGCACTATGTTTTGCATTTCACGTCATTTCTAAAAGGCAATTACTACCATCTCAATCTTACCTGTGGAGGGAACTCAGGACTCGTTTGTATAAACATAGAGAAATTGTGGAAAATACACTAAATCAGCACCATCTTGGGATCATTTTAGAACCGAAGAGTCTCAGGTCCTACTCTGGACTTGTCCAATCTTCATTTTAACAAATTCCCCGAGTGATTTGTATGCCCATTAATGTTATGAAGCCCTGTTCTGAGCAATTAATATTTGTTATAACCAAAAGATGAATTTGGAATGGAAGAAGAGATTATTAAAATTTCCTGTATAGTTCTCTGTATTCTTTGCTAGTTTATAAACAAGTAAATATTACTCTTATAATTAAAAAATAAAATAGAAAACTTTTGGAATATATGCATGCATTAGTCTATGCAGGCTGTCATAATAAAATACCATGGGTTGGGTGGTGGGCGGTAAAAACAAGAAAAATTTATTTCTCACAGTTCTGGAGTACAGGATGACCAAGATTAAGGTATTAGCAAGGTAGGTTTCATTCTGAAGCCTCTTCTCTTCAACTGCAGGCAGCAGCCATCTTACCATATGCTCACATGACCTCCTTTTTTTGTGAGCTCCTAGAAACTGAATGAGTTCTCCGGTGTCGCTCCTTAAAAGGGCACTAGTCCCATCAGATCAGGATCCCATCCTCATGATTTTATCTAACTGTAATTATCCTTCAAAGACCCATCTCCAAATACCACCACATTGGTGGTTAGGGCTTCAACATTTGAATTTTCAAGGGACAAAAGCATTCAGTCCATAACAATGCACACACATATACAATCCCAAATTATTATCTACGAATAACTATGAGACAGTCATTCTGCGTATTTGTTCCTGGGCAGTAATATTTTATTCACTTAAAATTGAGCAATAAGACTGGAACTTTATCTGCTTGTATTTCATAGAAAGGTGTCCCCTAAGTTGTTTTTTCACCTTTATAGCTTCATTAGACTTAATATTGTATTAATTCAGTACTGCTCCCCTAGGAAGAGTATGAAAGTCCTTTTTGTTGCTCAGATGTTCAGAATTACCCATGAAGTAGGAGTTTCTTTATAAAATATGCTACATGTAAATGAAACGGCCCTTCAGGCATTGCCTGCTGTTACCATGGTACACTGATCTAAAACTGTTCACCACATGCTGGCATATAAAGTGTTTAATGTAGGCAGTCCTATGAATGTCTGAAAGACTAACTAACCATAGAAATCTCAGAGCTATTTTATTGTAGCTCAGTATGAAGACAGTGGTATACACAGGAGATTAAATTAAATAATCCAACAACTGCAAAATTTATATTCTTGCTCATATATCATTTTCATAAATTGTTTCTGAAAACCTGTCTGTTTTGATTCTTTAAAATTTTTCGCAAAAATCTAAATATATACAGGAACTTCCTTAACCCTTTAAAGAATATACATGTAAAACCTATACTAACATCATCCTGATGAGAGATTGAACACTTTCCCCCTAAAACAGGGAAGAAGGCAAGGATGTCCTCTCACCACTGCTATTCAACACCACACTGGAAGCTCTAGCTAGTGTGATTAGGTAAGAAAAAGAAATTTAATATGCAAACTGGAAAGGAAGAAAGAACAAGTTTTGAGTAGGGATGAGCTCTGCTCACAAGCTCTGAAATACCTGGTGAGTGACCTTAACAACATTAAGTTTTATCACTTACAAGATAATCTATAGGATAATCTATGGGACCTTCATTTTACAAAATACATCCACTGCATTTCTCAAGACTTGCTTTCATAGTAGTGTGGAATACATGAAGGTTTCTTTTCAGGGCCAATAACAAAAGACATACCTCATCTCAGGGTTCGGCTGTAATGTGAATGTTTGCTATTCAACATGAAAGTGGGAAGATGTAAAGTATGATAAATAAGAAACAGTCTTTGGCGCCAGGCTCTCCTGGGTTTGAGGACCAGGTCTACCTCTTACCAGCTAAGTGGCCTTGGACATGAGTTTTAACTTCTTTAAACTTCAGATTTCCCACCTGTGTAGTATGTTGTTGGGAGGAATATATTCAATAATTTATATGCATTTAGCATATAACAAATATTCTATACAACTAGTTATTATAATTATCATAATTTCTATATCCTATTTCCTTAACTCTATGATGCACATTTTTTTTTCTCATTTTGACATTTCTCTAACCTAGATGTATCTTTCAAGTGAGTTAAAAAGAAACTTGTTAATGGGATTATGGGGGGGTACAACATATAAATAATTGATATTCTCTTGTATGATTTTTTAAAGCCATAGGTTAAAAGTTATCTGTTCACTCAATTTAAACCACATTTCAGTTACTTGCATTAGCAGTGCCTCACTAACTGAATTTTATTTTAAATTCAGATCCCTAATTGTTGAATAACAGACCTTCAAAACTTACAATATGATTTATGCTTGAACTAAAACATTATGATGCCTGATACTTACTAGCTGATGCAATGAAAAGCAACAGAAATCACCATATTTTTATCAGTGGTCTTAAGCTTCCCCGTCTATTAGAATCACTTGGACTTTCTTAAGTACTAGTGCCCCGTATTCTGCCTCAGACCAACTAAATCAGATTTGTGAAGGAGTGTAGAGAAGGCTAAAGTATTTGAATTTTTTAAAAAGTACCCCTAGGTGACTCTAACATGCGGCCAGGTTTGGAAACTACTAATTAGCAATGTAATTTTCAAAGTTAGAAGAGGTTGGTAAGACTCCTAGCTGAATTTCATGTTTAACTTCCAGCAATAGTATTCAATATAAGTGTAATGTTCAATGTAAGCATAATATTTCAGTTAAGATGATTGAAAATCAGCAAAACTTGGGGGTATAAAGATGGAGGTTTGCCATTTTTATTTAAAATTCTCTGTATCCAAAATTAACTCTCAAGAGCCAGTTTTTGTTGGTAGCAAAAATGTTAAATTAACTAATGAAAACATGCATTTGAAAGGTTTGAAAAGCCAGTTCAGGGCTATCTTCTCAACCACCTTGCTGAGCATGGGCACCACATAAACTTTCTCTACTTCTTCCATTCCTGGCTCTACTGGCTGTTTTCAAACAGAGGGAAGGATGGGGAAAAGCCCCTTATGAAACTGAGCATGCGTTCATTGTGAGGAGGTCAGAGGTTATCGTGGCATCCCTTCCCAAGGTCCACCTATTGAAACTTACACAGTCTATTTTCTCAGTGGGGGTGATATCTGATGCTGGTTCTATCAGGTGGCACACTGGGTACTGCATGGACATTCATCTGGCCTCTGTACTCTTCCTTGGTGTGAGTAATTTCCTGAAGCTCAGCTGTACTTTGTATCAGGTAGATTCTAGCTAGGGTTCCATACTCGGGCCTCTCAAAAGGTCAATTTTCCCTTCACTGAGTCACCAATTTGCTCCTTGTGATGATTAATCTTATGTGTCAACTTGGTTAGGCTATGGTACCCAGTTGCTGTGTCAAACACCAGTCTAGATGTTGCTGTGAAAGTATTTAGATGTGGTTATCATTTAAATCAGACTTTAAGCAAAGCAGATTACCCTCAATAATGTGAGTGGGACTCATCCAATCAGTTGAAGACTTTAAGAGCAAAAACTGAGGTTTCCTGAAGAAGCAGTTCTGACTCAAGACTGCAAGGTAGATACCCCACCTGAGTTCCCAGCCTGCAGATTCTGAACTCAAGACTGCAACGTCAACTCTGACCTGACCTTTCAGACTACTAATCTGCAGTATAAACCCCCATAATCACATGAGACAATTTCTTACAGTAAACGTGTGTGTGTGTGTGTGTGTGTGATCTTCTATTGGTTCAACTTTCTGGAGAACCCTGCCTAATACACCACTCAAACACTTTGTGTTCTACCACGTAGCCCTATGGGAATGAACCATTTTAACATTTTTGATCTGTACCCCAGGCAGGATGCTTGCTTGCTTTCTCTTCCATTGCCCTTTCATTGCACCACTATGTTAACTTCTCTTGCTTTCTTCAAGCCCTCATAGGGTGGAACTCAACTGCCAGGATTTCATATATTGGAAATATAGGCAAAATAGGGTATGGTACACAAGCACACTCTCGAATTTCCAAAAAAATTAGTTTATGAGAATAATCTAATTGTTATTCTCTGCCTCAGAATTACTTTGGATAACAGAAACCCTCATTGTCCTCACTTCAGTTTCTTTAACCTTCCCTGACCCCTCAGCCTCCTCCAAAAGGCAAAATACAGTATGGGGGTAAGTAGCATGACCAACTGCTCCAGTCTGCCTAGGACTTTCCCAATTTTAGCACTGAAATCCCAATCCTACCGAACTGGAAGAGTTGACCACACTAGAGAGGGGATCAGGTCAACCTATCAGATTTTCTCATTTTAATATTACTATGAAACCTTCTCTATCCATCACCCTTATAGTAGGCTTTTAATCTCAGAAGTCAAGAATCTCACAGTTTTGGAGTCTCGATGAATCTCCCATCAAACAGAAACTTCATGTCTCTATTCTTAATTGTGGGACGGGTTGTTGCAGAAGAACTTACATAGTATATGACATCTCAGAGCAGTAGTCTGTCACAAAGCAATATTTCATACATTAAGCTAAAAGTAGACTTTGTTAACTTTCCAAATAACTTATTAATGTTCAGAAATAATGAATCTGACATGGGTTATGAAAAAAGGCACAGACTATGGCGCTAGCAAAGTGGCTTTCTGAAAATGAAAAAATGTATATTAGTGCAGGTTTATAATAAAACTATTACATATATTTAATATAAAGATTCTGCATTGAAGATATATCTTAAAATCAATAGTTTCTTGGAGGCTAATAAATTCATTGTTATTTTTATGGATTTAGTAGAAACAGTGTGGAAAAGGCACCATCAGTCCACAAAGTTCCTCAGTCACATCTAGGACATGAGCAAACCGACCAAGCAAGAATGGAAGAATGAGAGTCCAAATAAACATGAATGACCTTTCAGCTGTCACTGAGTACCTAAGGTAGCAAGCTCAGGGAAATTAACCAAGAAAGGCCGTAGCAGATACTGCAGATGTAGGAAAGCAACTCAGTCAGGTGTATGAGAAGCACTGGTTTCAGAGGTATGGTGTATATTATGAAACCAGTCCTAAGGGCATGTAAATTATGCCTTTAATTTATGCAGGGGCAGGAAGGTCAAAACACAAAGAACAGAAGTGAAAGGGCATGTGGGCTGACATCTTGCTAACATACCTCTGCCCTAGATAGATTTTCAAAGTTAAAGTGAGAGCAAACTAGTGCAATGAAAAAGTGCCACATAGGCAATATCATTCTAAAGATCTACCATTGTAATTGTATTATACGTATTCATTCAAGTGTTTATTGTGCCTTCAGTAGATTAAATAAATGCTATTCTGATTTACATGCAGTTTATTTTCTATGTGAGATCTGAGATTGTGAGAAAAACAAATTCTTATCTTTTTTATTGTGATGTACTTTTCAAAAACTTTACAACTCTTTGTGCTACCCTGGCTAAGGTTTTATTATGAAACAGATTGACTAGGGGAAGTACTTCAGAATAAATGTCAAGATGTAATTCAAGAAATGATATTATATGCTAATAATTAATGTTTGCCATTTTAGACAAAGCAAATACTAATATATATGAGCCAAAAGATATAAACAGAGTCCACAGAAGAAATCATAGAGAAATACAATATGTACTTTGGGTTTAGTACAGATGGCATTTTCATCTTACTGATTCACAAAGATTAAAAAAACTGAACTTCCTTGTCAGTGATATTTTTCTTTGTTGGGAAAACTTCTATCATAAAAAAGAGAGGGCTTTATTTTTTCACTCTTCTTAATATTTTTTCAAGGGTTCAATACAGATTGAAAAATGCTACTCACCTCCATCTACACCTGAAATCTTTGTTATGCATGTCGGTCAAAATGTTCTTGGTGAGGGAAAAAATCATAATTATTGACAAATGATATTAAGAAAATGATATGACACTAGTATCATAACTTAGATGCTCCTTGAGAGAGAAAATTTTATCTTATTTCCTTCTCCACAGCCCTGAGCTCAGTCTAGATACAGGGAAGGTGCCCAATAACATATTTGCTTACTGAATTTGTTTGCTTATCCTGTCTGAGGGAGGTGTTGCATCACAGTAATGCTAAACTACATACCTCATTACACCTCTGACAAAATGTGAATGCTTATGCTTCAACTTATACTTATATCCCTTAAACTATATGTACTAAAATACTATTATTTTGGTCCTAATAAAGTTTTTTCTTCTCCTTATTGCCATCTAATTGAGATCCTTAAACCACATGATAACAAAACCGGCAAGCTACATATTCTTAGTTCTATGTTAGGACTCTGTGTAACTTAGGCTCACAAAATTTCTCAAATAAATTATTATGAACATTTAAAATAATGTTTTAAAATTGCAGTTTAAACTAATTTGAAAACTGATACCAAATGTCAGCATACAACAGGGCTGAGCAAATGAAGACTGTGGCAGTAGGATATTTCACAAAAAGGCAATAAAAATCCCCTAAAATGTTAGGAGATTTTTGTGCATTTAAATCCATAATCCCAAAAAGGATTCTGTCCTCATCCCCATATGGTGTGTGTTGAGAGACATTAGCTTCTCCGAAAAAATAAGAATATTTTCTCCCATTTTTTCATAAAACTTAAATTAGGGAAAACCTACAGTTTGTCCATATCAATTGATTTCTCCAATTTATTATCAAATCTTTATTGGGTTGAACAATAAACTTGGGTCCTTAAACTACCTGTTTACCACATAAAAACAATCCAAGATGGAATTATGGAGTCAACAAGGTTGCCCTGGATATTATTGTGGGAAACTAAAGTATTTACCACTTAAAAATGATAACTCTTCTTGTGCTCAAATGTAACAAATAAGAATATCAGCAAGTCAAGTTGCTGCCTACTTCTGTTAACTTTTGTAGATTTAATATTCCCCTGAATGTTACCTTGTTGCATGTAGTAAAGTCCTGAGAAAAAAAAATTACTCAGATTTTCAAAATTGTTTCTCTCATTTAAACAACACCCACATGGTAGCAACAAGTCATTAAATCTTTCACAAAATGCTACCTGATGTTCTCTAAAATACCTAGCAGGAATGGACACTCATTTTGGTTAACCATTATAGTCCTTTTTTACATTTTTATATCTTTTTCCAAAGGGGAGAAATATGGCCCTATATAAACCTAATGCCAAGAAAAATGTAAGCTAGTATTCATTAAAACACCCACTCTTTGCCAAAGCTAAATTCTGCCTCAGAATTGTGAGGGCAACGCCCATTCACAATGTCCTTGACACCACAGCAAATTGTTTCAACCATCTTCATGCTATTTAAAGTGTGAAAAAAATACAGACGATCTTTTGGAATGCATTCATTACCTTGAAAGTGCTTGACATGCTGGGCATGCCGCAATGAATAGGACTGCAGCTTTTGTGGTACAAAAGCACTTTTGCCTCATTATAGTCTCGGGACAACTTATGTTATAATCCCATTTTCAGTTACAATTGCTCTCAAAATTCCCCATTGAGAAACTTTCATACTACAAACAGATTTAAATTTACCTTTTACATTTTTTTAAAAGGGGGGAAAAAAAAACCCTCTCCCCTTCAAAAAAAATCCTTAAGAATATCAGAAATTAGTTATAATATTTGAAGATTCCAGACTACCATGATCATTTCAATGAATCATGTGTGCAAAACTTTTGAAAATTGTAAAGCACTACAGAATTTAAAGAATCTTTCATTTAATTAAAAAAAACAGAATCACATCTGCAGAGCACAAGGAGAAGAGAATTATAAAATAAATTCTGAGTTAATCAATGTTAATGTTTAATTAGCGCCTGGATTGTTAGACTGCAATTTGAGATTAAGGTGTGAAAGATATTTTAATTATATTTAAATGATCTAAGCCCTCCCTGAACTATATTACTTGCCACAAATAATGAAGTTGAATGATTTTCTTGCCAAAGTCAATGCTATTCATTAGTAAATATATATATACTTAAAGAACATTAATAATTTGGAGAAATTAAAATGTTATATATTATAAAAAGTTAGGAATCTAATATTTAAATGAATGGTATTCCAAACTGATTGAGCTATGACTCAATAATGAGTTTAAAAGATTTCCTATTAATGGAAAAATTTACTAATTTCCCCAAACTACAATTATGCTGTCTTCTTCCAGGTAATAAACCTCCCCGTATCCTGCCAGGTAAAAGCGAGACACCTCAGCATGACTAGCAGCGCCTGACCCTGTCCTGGCTCTTGCCATGTCTGCTCTTACTCATCACCCTGCTGCCCTTCTGATGCCTTCACTCAGGCTACTGCATCTGTCCAAATTACCCTTCCTCTGCTCTCACGTTCCCTGCCTGCCTGTGAACACAAACTCATCTGAGAGACTTAGCCCAAGCACTACCGTCTCCTTTTAAGCCTTTCCTGGTGCTCCACACACTCAGGATTCTCCACTTTTTCACCTGGGCCATTTTTAGCATTACACCTGTAACACTTTGCTGTATATAGCAATTTACAAATCCCATCCATCAGCAAGCCCCATCAGTTCTACTTCTGAAATCTGTCTTCAATTACCCACTTCTCTTCATCTTCTTTACCAGCACTCAACTCAGTCCATGGCATCATTTCTGGTCTTGTTGATTACAATACTCTCCTAATTTATCTCTTTTTCCACCGTGGCACCTTCCACTCTTTTCCACCCTGTATTCCAGGCAGCCTCAGTGACCTTTTAAAATGCCATCAGATCAGCAATCTGTTTGACGTCTGTTAATATGTTTGCTGTTGCAAACCTAAAGTCCCCATGCCCATGACCTGCAAGGACCTGTGAGAGCTGGCTCCTCCTGCCTCTCCAGCCTCATCTCAGACCACTCCCCATCCCAAAGCCTCATCCTCCAATGACACTGGAATCATTCTGCTCTTCAAACATGCTGAATCCCCCCTGTGTTCATCTCTAACTTTTCCTAGTTTTCACATGGCATTCTCACTGCCATTCTTCAGGTCTCTGCTTGATATCACCAGCAGAAGGGTCCCTCATCACTTTGGGTAAAGTGGTCCCTCAATGACTCTAGATCATACTACCCTCCCCCATTTTTCCGTACATACTGAATCCTGGGTGTTGCTTTGTTTACTTGCTCACTCTTACCTTTGTTCCTAGAATGTAAGGGCTTCGTGAGGGCAAACTTTTGTCTGATTAGATGCTGCTCTACCATAATCTCAGTCCCAGCTCACTGACCCATGGTGGATGTGTTTAATCAATCAATTAATTAATGACTTAGAGTTCTCTCCCTGTTACACTATAAACTCTCTGAAGGCAAGTGTCATGCCTTATTTATCTTTGTGATCCAGAATCTAGAAAAGTGTTTGGCATAAGATAAATTGTCCATAAATGATTGTGAAATAAATAAATGAATAAACATATTTTAAAACTTTGGTTAGTGTCTATATACACAAAATGTATAATTCAAACCCTAGAACAGTATCTGGACCTCTGAAGGTATTCAATAAATGTTTGTTAAGTAA